TTAGATTAAAGTTTTGAACGACTAGTAGATTTATACTTAAACAATTAGATTATTCGCTCTCGATATTTCTTTTTACTGGGGCTGCGCTCTTGTCAACTATCACGCGTTCTAGTTCACCACTACGACAGCACCGGCAACGAGAACGTCACCAAACAAAAGGCTTAATGAGCAGAAGAATGGCCGTGCACGTGCATTATAAATCTTTGCACATTTCATAGCCGTCCTCTGCAAAACAACAACGTGAAATGACTAAGGTCTGGGTATTTTGGAGAACGTGAACGGCGGCGGTTAATTTTTTGCACTTAATTTGGAATGCAACGCTAGCATTACACATTTAGATTGAGTAAGTTCTGAGACAGATAGGTGCACCGAACAAATCTATACAGCTGCGAAATTCGAAGGTAGAATATAAAACTATCTTTTACTGGACGTCGGCTTTGGCGTCGCCGTCGTCTTTGCTTAAGGTCCCTACTATCAACCCATAGTGCCCGTCTGCGGAAAATACCCGGATGGATAGTACTCGTCCGTGAAAAATTTTCTGTAAACAAGCGGGTTTGTGGAAAATAAAGAATTGAAATTGTATTAAGTGGGTTTTTGTCGGTTTTCTTTTTCAAATTTTACATCTGGCTGTCACGACTTTCATCTAAAAATGTTGAAAGTAATTCAATATGATTTTTGAACTGGCGCGCAGAAGAAAATTTAGTGGTGAACAATAAAGAAAACAGAGCGTTTATGTTTCGGAACTATCGGTCTGATAGTTGCCCCTTGGAAATGTGATGTTCTTAAAACTAGCATATCTGTCCTCGTAGCTTCTCTTCTCGGGCAAATATTTGTTTTAAGAACATCAAATTTCCGCGGGGCAACTATCGCCCGATAGTTCCTCGACAGAAACACTCTATTGTTTAAATCGAGAGCGAATAATCTAATTGTTTATTAGAAATCTAAGATGGCGGCTAGCTGGAAATCATAATTCTCGTGTCATATGACGTCATCGCGCATGCCATAATGCCGACCTCAAAGCAATTTATGGCACATTCGATCAAAAGTAAGTCTATCATCAAAAATGGATCGAAGGTCATCAGTCCAAAATCGTGGACGTGACCGTTTGAACCCGCTACGCTAAAATATTTGGCGACAGCGTCGGCGACAGCATGAAACGTATCCGTTGGTGAGATCCAAATCGTATCCTCGATCACAGTTAATAGAGGGAATGGTTATGAACCTGGCAAAGTTCTTTGTTGTATGTATTTGTTGGCTATTTTGGGAACTGACCCTGCACAAAACCCGACAAAATACAAAAGGTGGTTATTTGTGCTCATACAACGAACCAATAGAAGCGATTACTTTATTTATTTATGTACTTATTTATTTATTTATTTATTTATTGACAATATTTAGTCAGGGATGCCCAGTTCAGCAATGCTGGTTTAAATGGGGCCCTGCATAGTCTAAGAGCATAAAACAAAAGATGTGCAGGGTCAAGGACCTTCCAACATAAATGTTAACCTGTTTGTTTGCTTCTTTGATGTTTACCGGGTAAGCTTCTTAACCATTCCCTCTTTTAACTATGCCTCGACATTACGTTAATTTCTAGACTTTCTAAAAGTTCTTTTCTATAATCCTTCCCTGGCCTGTTGGTTTCGCTGTTGGAAAGGACGCCGACCTTTCGCCACTTCTGTCGCTCGGGCTCACGACTTCGTCGTGAAGATTGCCCTCTCGCTTCGCTCGAGGGAGATGAATAAGAGAAGATTAGGCAAAGGTCGACTTGTGGCAAGTCTAGTTAATATCCCCAACGGTTGTACTGATGATACCGTAAGTCTTAACGAGAGCTATATCAGGAAGGGTTAAATTCCTCCTTTGTCTGAAACTGGCTAACAAAGGCACCCCAACACCATAATCAAAATAATCACAAAAAACACAAAAATGAGTATGCTATATTATGTTTCCACTGCTATCGTACTTTCATATCCTTTTTAAAGATGCAAATAAAAGTTTAATTGTTGTTATTGTTTTACTCTTAGCTGTGCCAGAACCTGTCGCCTTCTACCCCTTGAATGAACGCTATAAAGCCGCAGAAAAAGAGAACAGGCAGCCAAAGGGAATCGTGGGGGATGTTGCGATAACAAACGGACCCTACAACGAACCAGGCGGAGCTTACATGTTTTATGGCATTGTTAGCAGCTACATCGAGTTCCCGAATAAAGGGGGCCTGGACACTCGGTTCTCAATTACATTGATGTGCTGGGTTCAACCCGGAGGCCAAGATGGACCATTATTCAGTTACGGAAAAGATGGCGGTGGGATCCAGTTATGGATTGAGACGGGCAGATTCAAACTAATAAACATCAGAAACAATGGTCAAGCTCATAGTATAGCGTCAAGTGACGCTCTTCCAGCAGGAGCGTGGGCTCGTGTTGCGGCAGTTTACGATTATGACACCGGACTCAACTCTCTTTATATCAATGGACATTTAAATAAGTCGGAAAACATTGGTACAGGTTATGAGATTTCAACCAACGCCGAGGAAGTTCGAATGGGGGCTAGAGATGACGATGCAAGATATTTCAAAGGAATAATCACGGAAATGAAAGTTTACGATGTTGCACTGAACGAAGCCCAGATAAAGCAAATTATAAATCAAGGTATTGCAAATATTGAATCACACTTTTTAACGTTGTTTTTTTTTTTACCATTATATAGTATTTGACAGCTATCTGCTACCGAAGATAACGGTTCTTATGACATAATAGATGGAGATCTTAGCAATATCAAGTGAACTTTTCTAAGAAGATCACCATACCTTAGCAAACTAACTTTAAAATTTCAGATGGATTTCTTTCTGCTACTAAGACTACTAACATTCTACTAACTTCATCTCCAAATCTTTGACTTGCTATTCTCTCTCTACCCGTTGAACCTAGGGCCCTAACTTGTGTCCTTGGAGAGTGTTTTATTTTCAACATAGGGCACCCAAGGCGAGTCATTTGACACATTAGAGACCTCAGTAATCTTTTTTTGGTATATGATTTCCTACAATCTATTACAGCTGAACCTGCATTAAGAGGCCCCGCCCTTAAG